GAAAATAGATAAAATGACTCAAAGTTGGGATATAAATGCAAAATAACCTATCTAAAAGAGAATAAAAAGGTACTTTACGTACTAAATACTTAGTACGTATCAGCTGCCCATAGAGACTTCAAAGTCTACCAAATGAATGTAAAGAGCGCTTTCCTAAATGAAACAAATTCTAGAGGAAGTTTATGTTGAACAACCTGGGTTTTTGAGCTTAAGTATCCAAATCATGTCTATCATTTGGATAAAGCTCTTTATGGGTTAAAAGATGCTCTTCGTGCTTGGTATGATACCCTTTCCTCATTTCTCATCTCTGAGAAATTCGTCTGTGGAAAGATTGACCAGACCTTATTTCTTAGGAATGTTAAAGGTCATATCATTGTAGTCCAAATATATGTCGATGATATTATTTTTAGTTCAACTAATCCTTCTTTATCTTTTCAATTTGCTGATCGGATGAAAAAAGAATACCAGATAAGTATGATGGGAGAACTAACCTTCTTTTTAGGTCTCCAGATCAAGCAATCAGATAAAGCCATCTTTATCAGTCAGAGTAAGTATGTCCATGATATGCTGAAAAAGTTTGATCTCTCTAATAGCTCATCTACGAAGACTCCTATGGCTTCTCCACTATCTCTCAACAACGATACAAATGGAAAGCCTGTAAACGTAACCGTTTATAGAGGAATGATTGGCTCTTTGCTGTATCTTACAGCTAGTTGACCAGATATTATGCATTCTACTTGCTTATGTGCATGATATCAATCTGAACCTAAGGAATCCCATCTGATCATTGTAAAGAGCATTTTCAGATACCTGAAGGGAACTTCTAACTTGGGTCTCTGGTACCCTAAGAGTTCAAGTTTTGATCTAATAGGTTATTCGGATAGTGATTTTGCAGGTTGCAAAATYGATAGGAAAAGCACCACTTGAGGCTGTCAGCTTCTAGGTAGAAAGTTGGTGAGCTGGACAAGTAAGAAGCAAAACTCAGTGTCTGCATCAACCGCTGAAGCTGAACACGTAGCTGCTGGAAGTTGTTGTACCCAAGTCCTTTGGATGAAAAACCAGCTTAACGACTATGATCTTCAGTTCTTAAAGATTCCTATCTATTGTGATCGCACTAGTGCTATTGCAATTGCAAACAACCCTGTACTTCACTCCAAGACCAAACATATAGAGATCATGTTATGAATGGTGATATCGAACTTCATTTTGTTCCCACTGATTACCAACTCACTGACCTTTTCACCAAGCCTCTTGATGAGACAAGATTTAACATCTTGATCAGTGAACTTGGAATGCTAAACGCTAAAGATTAATATCTTTCAGCTAAACACATCAATCAGTAAAGTGAAATGATTCAATGCTCTCACTCTATCACTGAACTCTTGAGTAAATGTATCTATTTTCTCTAAGGTATGTATACTTGTTCTTCTTCTTTAAAACTTAAAACTATCACTGAAGCTTTCCTTCTTCAGTTATCAAAATAGTTTAAAAGATTGTTTCAGTGATTCTTTCAATCATTGAACAATGTAAGTAAGTATATTTCAACTATACTTATCTTTTCCTAAAATCAAATTGATCATCGAACCTTTTCTCTTTCAGTAATTCAAATGTTTTAAGAGATAGTTTCAGTGATTCTCTTATCGCTGACACTTTTATGGAAATATATTCTTCTAAGATATTTTTCTTTCTTAAAATAAAATCATCACTGAAACTTTTCTTCTTCAGTGATCAAATGTTTTAAAAGGTTTTTATTCAGTGATCTTCTTATCACTGAATATGACTCTTTGAATTTCTTAAAACCTTTTCGTTTTAAAAGAAATAGTTAATGAACCGTCTTTATGAAGACATTCTCTGTTTTCAATACGAGTTGCTTTGAGACGCGCGTAAAAGTCTGACACACGCGACCTCCTACAACATTCATCTAATCATGGATGAGAACATGTCATATTTTTCATCATGGCTTTTTCTCAACAGTTGTATTTTCCTCTCTCCTATATCTTTTCTCTCTCCTCTACCTATAAATATTAGACCCTTCCTCTCATATTTTCTTTGTGCTTACAAAAACCTTTGACGAACCTCTGCCAAAAAGAATTTGCAAGCAAGAACGCTTGAAACCTTCGACCTTTTCCTTAACAACTCTAAGGTCGATACTTCTTCTTTAACTTTAAATGTTCTTCTTCTAATGAAACAATGTTTGTTTCCTTAAGAATTTTGTTCTCTTCAAACACAAACAGTAAAATTATTAACAAATTCTTCTTCTTGGTTATAATCTAAAGTTTCAAAAACACTATTCTTCTTGAAAAACCCTAATATCTTCTTTGTGGATTTTTAAAAAGAAGTTTTAATGCTCTAAAACTTAAAAAAAATCACATTCAGATCTTGGACTACTAAACAAAAACTGTTATAACTTATTTCTTAACTATAATAGAAAATGGCTGCTAAGAACGTGAACTTCTCCGTTGAAGACGTGTCTTTCAAGGCTAACAACCACATTGGCTTATTGGACATTCCTACCAACGAAACCATCTATCAGGATGATGTTGATTTCCTCAAAATGTCTCATATCGCCTTCGCTCTCAGCCAGGAACTTGTCATGGTGAGGGAAGCCCTTTAGTAATTCTGGATGACCGCTGAAGTGGTGCAACACACAGACAAAAATGGTCAACAGGTGGAGAAGATCTCTTTCACCTTCAATCGAATTACCGTCAGCTTTGGCATGGCAACGTTAAGGCACACTCTTTGTTTTCCCAAGGGTCCATTCGCTAGCGATCCTTCGGCTAAAGACATTATCGCTTGTCTCGATGATATTGGCTACTCATGGCCAATGAAGAAAGACTCCAACGAGCCTCTGAAGTCGCTGTCGAAGATAGAGAAGAACCGCATGTTTATGGTGTGGCAGTTCCTCTTCTCTCACTTCATCTATAGTATGGGTGGAAAGATCAAGCATGAAGGGTCGCTCTCACTATCGACGTGTCTGTAATCTGCTGGCAACCCATCAACTATGTTGCAGTGATCTTCAATGACCTGATGCTGAAGTTGTACAAGCGCCAGAGGGAGAAGGTCGTTCCCTACACTTGTTTTCTATCAATGATGTTCGCCAAGATCTTCAGCAATAAATATTCAAAGGAATGTAACCTTCCTTTATACAAGCTTGGATCCAGGATTTTGGATCACAAGCTGAGGGATGGAGATATTGCACATTCTGATGTTGTGCAATACTCTTCAATTCCTTCTTCTTCTTCTTCTTCTTCTTCTTCTTCTTCTTCTTCTCTTCTTCTTCTTCTTCTTCTTCTTCTTCTTCCAAGATGGTCAAAACAAAGAATAACCCTCTTAAGTCTAACCCAAGCACTACAACGACGTCTCTGACTGTGACCTCTTAAAAAGGTCTCATCTATTGAATCTAGCCTTACCCCTGAGGCACTTTCAGCTAGCCTTCCTAGCTCTTCAATGATATCTGAAATCACTGTCGTGCCTGTGGCTCCTCTCCCAACCGCCTCAGTGACCCAAATCACTAAAGGTGAGAATATCAGCATCGCCACTGCTGAACACCGACTACCATCAGTCTCAACCATCTTCTCCGCCCTTCCATCCTTGGTCTCTACACGTGTTTATGATTCATCAGCGAATGTCCTCCCTGATGATGAGACACCCACCACTGGACCTAAATCTGCTCCTCTCAAGGCAACTCAGAAAACTGGTGCCTATCCTCTCGAAGGCACCATGGAGTGCACCAACGTTAATCCTTCAGATAATGCTGATGAACTATCAGGTACTCCATCTTCCAACCCTTTCATTTCTACTAACGTCGAGCTTCCTTATGCTCACTCTCCATCTTTTTCAGGTCCTTTTGAGGAACCAACCATGGAGGATGCATATGACATGGATGAAGACGTAAAGATGCTCCTCCCTGCAATTAAGATTGTCTTCATCAAAATGGAAGAGGACCATAAGGGCATGTCTCAAAGGAACGAAGTAGCTGCTGATCTCTCAACCGTCTAAGCTAAAGTACAAAGGCTCAAGGACCAGATCTCCATAATGCAGGTGGATATCCAAGCCAACGCTGAGACCGTCAATGCCTTATCAAGCAAGGCCGATGAAGCAAACTCTCACCTTGCCAAGTATATGGAACTGATGCAGCAGATCTTGGTTGCTCTTCAACAGCCAATCTCGACAGCTAAATCGTCGTTCACTGTTGATGACCGTACGCAGCTCGATGACGCGCACAAGGCTACCGTTCTTTTAGCTCGCACGATGACCAGAGTCGAATAGATGATGGCGCTCCAGATCCGGAAACTCGACCATTTCTTTGGCTATTGCATGAAAGTCATTGCCAAAAAGGGGGAGACAAGTTATGAAGCTGGTCCCTCCAATGTTGCTGCTGTCCCTACTGCTGAAACTGTTGTTCCAGCGACTGAGGCTTTAGCTGAATCTCCTTAAGGTGAAGCTGAAGTTGATGTCGCTGATGACCTTCCAAATTCTTGTGAAGCTCCTGTAACTGAGGATGTTGATAACGTCTGAGCTGGCGCTGAAGCTCGCGACGATGATCTTCCAGTCACCTCTGCAGCTAATGCTGGTGATTTGGATGATGATGATGATGATGAAGATGATGATAAAGAAGACGGTGAGTATCCTGACCTTCCTAATGCTGGCAAACACCTGGACGATGATGATGATAAAGACGACGATGATAACGGCTTCACTAATCAATACCAGAGACCTGCCGGTGCCACAAAAGGCGTCACCCTCAAGGATTCCACATCCCAAGGGGAGCAAAGGGAGAAAGAGGCAACTCAAGAAAAGCACCAGAACACCAAGTCGAAAGACAAAGGTGTTGCTGAAGAAGGCAATCTAAGGGTATTGTTCAATCCTCTAGAACCTTTAGCTAACGAGTCCTCTAGCTTTACCACCATCATATCCATGTATCAACTCTCAATCCTCACAACTACATGCATTCGGCTGGAGGAATGGGTCCCTAAAATCCCATCTCCTAGCACTCCCATCAACTAGTAGATGTCTCAGCTCGAGGAGTCACTCGACCAAACTAGAGTAAAAATTCCTCTTCGCACCTCTAGTTGTGGTGAGTTCGACTTCTTGACAAAAGCTGAAAGGCTCAAAGCGCTCAAGGCCGAGAAAGAACTAAACCTTCAACGTAAATAGACCGAGGACAGCTTAAAGATGGCCAATTCTCTGGCTACCAAAGTTGTTCCAAGGAAGAAATTGAAAAAGATGGTGAACACTGTCCAGGCCCAAGCTAAGCTTCTCTCTATTGCAGAAGCTGAACGCGAGAAAAATCTGATGTTTGCCGAGCGCGACAAACGATGGAGCGAAGAATTCCTACAAAAGAGATTCAGCCCTCATCCTATTTCAAACGTCACCATCAGCGGATAAATGAAAGACGGTGGGTTGCTGGTCTCAATGCTCATCACCGGGGATAACATTGATACGGTCATCGAGTATCCTTCCTACCTCGGCAAGTAAGGCTACAGTGAATGGCTGGAGATCCGCCAAGCCATTCAGTGCTAATAATCACGACATAAGCCGATTATCGAGGACATCATCAACGTGCTGATCAAGATGATGTCCATGTATGTCGATGTCCTTGAAAAGCCAACTCTGAAGAAAGGTGGAAGAAGAAAAATACCATCAATTCCTAATGATGGACCATCCTTGAGAAATGAACATGAAACAAAGTTCTCCTTAGATGAAGTCCTGAAGGCTTCGAAGAAGCCAGACATTTCCATGTTGAACTTGTCATTGCCAACGAAGGTTCCTTACATACCCAACACTGTGTATATAAAGCCTGAGTTAGGATTTATCTTCCTTTACTATGAAGGTGAAGTCAGCTTCAAAAGAATGTCTGAGTTACATCTATGCTCGATGGAACCTCTCGCGTTCATCAGATTCTGGATAGATAATGACTTCTACGGTGAAATGATGGACCGCAAGATAATAAGGGCATCTCTATGTCGAAAGGAGCTCAGAGAAAATGTACCTGGCTACATTAATCTGAACAACTTAGATTAGTTATTTATTTTGTAATTTGTCCATTCACTATATACCTTTTGTATTCTATGTCGACTTTCAGTGTTCAACTTATATATTGTAAGTCTAAGACATGTACTGAACAACTTGCAATATTTCCTTTGAATTAATATAAGTGTTTCATTTACATCACTAAAAAAGATCCCTGAAAAGAGTAATAGGGACACATGTCTATGAGCTCTAGTGTTATCTTACATTCACTGACAATCTATAAATCAATGAACATGCTTTCAGTTTCAGTTTTCCTTCTTACACCTTTTCTTAAACTTGATCCTCAAGAAAATTTACTAAGTAAAAACTGACTCACTGAAAAAGATCCAAAAACAGTTAAAAGGGACATGTACTTTATATGTAACTTTTCCTTACTGCTATTTGATTAGGAAACTTTCTTTATGTTGCTTTGTTATCATCAAATAGGGGGAGATTGTTGATCCTCTCTCTCGTTGATTTGATGATAATCCCTTTTACCTTTTAAAAATTAATATGTTTCTATCTTTCAGTTCCAATGATCATCATTGAGTCTGTTAAGTGATCGCTAAGACATGTATTGTAAATCCATCAGCGACAGTGATACTTCAAGAGGACAAAACTCACACCAAAGAACCTTCAGCGAAAGTCGAAGACTGAAACTGAAGATTAGAGACTACCACGTTCGTGATCTGAAGCGGCATTCAGTGATTACAACCTGGTCAACATATGTGTGAAGACTGCCAAGCCTCAGTGAATGCTGAAGAGACCTTCAAGGTTATTCCAGCATTTAGCGATCAAAAGAAGCTTGTTGTGCAAGATTACTTTTGTCTTGTCCTTCCACACACAAAGGATAAACCCATACCCTTTCTGGAGTATAGTCCGGTATGGAGCCGATTAGTTGACTATATTACCCACCAACTCTATGAAAGAATGTTTGCTCATGAATAGGCTTTTGTACTATTCACTGTAGCAAAGGACAAGCTTTTCTCTAAAAGCTTGACGCGTGTTCAAACCCTACTGCGTTGCATTAAATGTGCATTTAATTGAATGTATATAAATAGATAAGCATTCTCTCCATGCAAACTATGTGCATACACATAAGAGATCACATACACATCTAAGAACACTTACGCTTATCTTCAAAGCAAGTTAGAATCCCTTTTAAGTATTCTAAAAAGTTATTACCCAAAAAGAACTCATTTCCTTCTTAGTCTTAACAACAAATCGTTTCTCTTTACTAAGATCATTTGTGTGTAAACTTAGATTGTTTTAGATAGGTTATCTTTACCTTATCTTATTTCGCATACAATCTTGTAAAATATGTATTGATCCTTTTTTATCAATATATATTTTAAATTTGAAATGTTTCCTGTGTTTGTATTCATTCCCCCCTTCAACAAATTGTCTCTATAAAACTCTTGTAGACCTTTACGGGACCAACAAGATTATCAATTCAATATGACAATCCTTTCCTTTCCATGGTTTCCATTCTAATCATTCCACTTTTCTTTAAATTTTTGAAAAATACTCAAAATGTCAAAATCCAGAACCCTCTTGTCTTCATCAAGTTGGTAAATAAAGCCTTAAACACCATATAAAAATATGTCGGATTCTAACTCTTTTAGTGATTTGATGATAATCCTTATACTTAGTGAAAAATACTTTGTTTTATTTTGTGTATTTAGGTTCTGCGATCAGTCTCAAACTGAGTTTCTTCAATGATTATTGAACACCTATTGTAATAGTTAGAGCTTAATTTAAAATCAAGACAAAACACATATGAAAGAAACCTTCTGCGATATCAAAAAAGTTGCTAAAGATAGAGACTTGTATAATCGTAATCTGAAGCGGCATTCAGTGATACCATGACAGTCTACATCAAATTTGGAATATGAGCAAGACGTAACGATAGTTGAAGGAGTCCTCAGCGACCGAAATCTATAACTTATCAGAGTCTTGTGTATCAAGACCGTTTTTGTTTTATCCTCTTGCACAAAAAGACATACCCCATGCTTCGACCAAACATAGGTACAAGTACGTATTACTTTTCTATCTTCAAACATGTTTACCAACTACCTGAAGCTACTATTCATATGCAGCCAAAAGATTGTCATAATCGAAGAACAAGGACAATCATTCCACTCATCTCTTGACACGTGGAATATACCCTCTGAGGTGTATTTAATGTAGTGAGTATAAATAGCTGAGAAGTCTCAGCTTTTTAGCTACACATTCTTCTTCCTCTATTCTTTTCTCTTTTATTCTTTTTTTTTTCTTGTGCAAGAAAAATCTTAGTGATAATAAGATTGTGTAGATTAAGATCTTTCCTTATCTAGTTTTCGTAACAATCTTTCAATTGCATATTGGTTCTTCTTTAATCAATAAACGAATTAAAAAAATTTAAATTTTGTTTGTTTGTATTCGACTCTCCCCCCCCCCCAAATTTACAAATTGTTTATACTTATAGACTCCCTTTGGAAACATCTGATTTACAACAGTTATGCTGCCCAACTTTTGAATTTCACTTGTAATGTTTCTTTAACTATAGAATTAGCTTAATACCAAGCTAACCTTAATTGAAGTATAGGTAGGATGTAACTGCTTATCCTCTTATTGATCCGGAGTTGTGGATGGTATGAGCATGAAAGGACACCTATTCGGCTTCAGGTACAACGTGGATTCCTGATTTGTGTTGGGTCAGAGTGCGCTGCATTCTAGCACCGACACTTCTTGTAGCAGCTCATTCGTTGATGCACAGGTTTATACTCCTCCATTATTACAATGTCTAATTCTAATATTAGTTGATATTACTTAATTTTATGTTGTTATATATTTGTAGGTTGAACCTTTAGAGGCCTAGGTTGAAAAGTTGAAGCATCAGGACAAGGAAATGGCTGAGGTAAGAAGGAAACAGATGGAAGAGATGCGGGAGATGGTCATGAAATTCACGAATTCTCAGTTTCCGCCGGGTGATCTGTGGTTTGATAAGGTCGTTGGACGTAGTGTAACAAACAATTAATTTTTATTTGTATTGTAATGGCGTATCTGTGAGTAAATTTCTACCAAAAATAATTTTAAAAGTTTAAAAGAAAAAATAAAAATAAACTAAATCCTCCTGTGATCAGTGGAGAATTACTCACCGTCTGCCAAATCCGCTGCTAGGTTTCTTCTCATTATTTTATTATTTAATACAATGAATAATTAAATAGTTTTAATTAAAAGAATTCATCAACGAATTATTGACGGTCTAGTCCGATGGTGATTTTAATCCGTCAAAATGATTAAGGTTAATTAACTTCTCATAACTAATCTATACTACCTTATAAAGCAAATTTAACAAAAGTCTTAAAAACAACTTAACATGCATTTGGTACAACCTTTTAATGAATAAAGTCTTAAAAACCAACCTATGATGCATTTAGTACTACTCTAAAGCATACATCGTTAACCGGCTCTCTCTCTCTCACTTCAAAACTAACGCTCCACCCTCCCCTCATAATTCCTTTCCAAACCACGCTCCACCCTTTCTTCCCTTTCCAACGCTTTTCTGCCCTCCAAAGAATCGATTACAAAGATGACGATTCAGTCCCCAAGGCAACAATTCAGGCGATTGCGAGTGTTTATAAATGATCGCTCCTGTAACAATGATGCATTCAGGCGATTGCGAGTTCTGCTTTTAAACCTTGAGGGCACAATTTTGTGGCGATTGTGAGTTCTGCTTTCAAAGGTGAGTTAATTTAGGGTTTAGGGTTTCATTTTGAGTTACACATTTCATTTTTGAGTTACACATTTCATTTTTGAGTTACACATTTCATTTTGAGTTACACATTTTCTTTGGAATTATCTCCTGTAACAATGACGCAGTAAACGATTCAAGCGATTGCGAGTTCTGCTTTTAAACCTTGAGGGCATGATTTTGTGGCGATTGCGAGTTCTGCCTTCAAAGGCGAGTTAATTTAGGGTTTAGGGTATCATTTTGAGTTGCACATTTCATTTTTGAGTTACACATATCATTTTGAGTTACACATTTTCTTTGGAGAAAAATACAGAATTTCCATATGTGACAAAAGTTATATCGAGTCCTAGTAATGTTGTGTATGTGGTGTTTTGTCTACATTCAGATATTATCTTTTTCCTCCATCTTCTACCGGTCTGTGGAAAGATTGATACGCAGATGAGATCAATAGGATTTTCTAAGTCAAGCAGTATGGTTGCATAACATGTGTACCCTACTACTGGTGTTGCTATTTTGCAGTCTTTGTTTGCTAGCTTGGATAAACTTCTAGAACCTGATCGTTAAAAGGTTTGAATGCAGTCTTTGGTTACACAGTTAAAAGGTTTTATTTTGAGTTGCAAATTTCATTTTTGAGTTACACATTTCATTTTGAGTTACACATTTTCTTTGGAATTATGCCTGTCTATTGGTTTTGTGGTGTTCTCTTAAATGTATAAGATAGATAAACAATGGGATACAATGTAAATAGTTAAATTATAACACATACAATTGAGAAGTTTCAAACAATATAGGTATTTTGTTGAACTATAGTCCTATAGGATTTAAAGACACCAATAACAATCAAACAGGTAGATATGAGCAAATGAAGCCACCTCTACTGTAAAATATGATTGGAAGATAACAACTAATGATTTTTTATTCTATAATGTATATGGAGTAAAAGGAAATTATAGAACATAATTAGAGGCAAAGGAATTTGCTAATGTAAGCTTTTTTTGAATTGTTCAAATTCGTTGCTTGATCCATCCCCATGATATTATAGGCTAGAAGGTATAGAAGCTCATTACAAGGAAAGGAAAAAATACGCTTACCTCTTCACCCCATGATATTTGTTGCCTGATCCCTCTGTATTGATTGCTCTGCCACCCATCGTAGCCTGGGTGTTCATATCAACTTTGTTAGCTGATTGCCTTCTCCGTGGTGTTTGTAACATGAACTCGTTTGATCGATTGATGATCAGGTTTTAGAATGAATTAAGGCTGAAATAACTCAGATTTAACTGAAAAAGACAGAAAATGTCGGTGAATTTCAATTGAATTTTACTACACTTTTTAAAGTTATCACTATTAGCATAGCCTACGTTGTTAAGAATTTAAAATATAACACATTTTAACATGGAAAAGCTAAAAGTCAAAGTTGGTGTTAAATGTGTAATGGGGTTTGAAATCAAATCTCATTTTGAAGGTATTTGGTTCAATCTTAAAAGTCAAAGTGTTCCTCCATTTATCGATGGAAGGAAGTATTTATTAGCTTCATGTATGCATATTTTCATTTTAACAATTTTATGTTGATAAACTTCTTGTTGTGAGCTATGTTTATAACCAGATTCCGGTGTTCTAATTATAGGAAATGTTATCTACAATGCACAATTTTCGTTGTTGGCACTGAATATTGTTTTCAGACGTGAAGATGAGAACTTTCGACCATATCATACTAGCGGAGAAGGACACTTGAAACCTAAGAACAGTTTATCCGATTGGAATTGCAAAGACCCAACTAGGCTATTCTCTCTGATTCTTGAACTTAGGTATTTACCCCTTACAGTAAACTCAGATTAAATGTTTATGTTATGAATGTTGCCCCTTTATTATGTGTAAGGGATTATGTTTACACTGCAAGAGTTTGTACATGGCATACTAGAAAAAACGTGTTGGGGAAGTTGCTGATGAAAGACTGAAGTTTGAAATCAACACCATTTATTCTCGAGAGGTAATCTTTCAAAGTATAAAATACTGGTTTTCATAGCAATTAGCAAGAATAAATCTATATAAAGTTGGGTTTCTTGTCATATAAGAAGAATCCCATGTTTGTATTACTCGTGGACTGGTTTAGTATCTTGTTTAGCAAAAAGTCCCAGCTCTTCGAGTTATCGCTCTCACTTTGGCTAAAACTCGATAGTTCATCATCTTCATCATTTTCAGTAGACTGATCATAGAAGCATGTTTTCATATCGTTTTGCTTTCGATCATGATATTTGCATAATGTTTGAAAATCATCATAAGTATCTGGTTATGATATTAACCGTTACAAACGACATGATTTGAGAAAAAAAATCCAGACATTACAACAAGATTGGCTTTATAGGATGTAAAGATATGTTTAAATGTCCTAATAGACTGTTTCACAGAACTTGGTTTATAAGACAAAAGAATTGTGTCTCCATGTTACAATAAGATGATAAAATACTTTTGAGAGACAAGTTTTCTTAGTATATATTTGAAATAAATGTCTTTTTTATTGGATTTGTCATATGAACACATTTCTTTAACTTAAATATAAGACACTTTGTTAAACTATGACATACAAAAAAACTGATAGGACATTTTATCTCAAAAATATCTTAGAAAACTTGTTAAAAGAGTCGCACAACTGTTTGATCACCTTAAGTCAAATAAAGCAGCCTATTAGGACATTTATGGATTGTTTGGTTGGTTTTTCATTAAGTCATATATGGATAAAGTTGTCATTGTGGCTTAATACGTCTATATATATAGACTGTGAAAGTTTTTGTTTGAGAAGGTTTTTTCATTAAGGGTAATCTTTCAAAGAATTAAAGGTAAGCTGCAATTTTACACCACAATGAAGTTCAAAATTGACATTAAGGGGCCGTTTACCAAACACTTCCCCAATAAGTGCTTACCGGTAAGATTTAACACTATTATTTACTTACCGAGTAAGATTTTAGTTCACCAAAACGGTATCGTGTGCAACGATTTACCTGGTAAGCGCTTATTGTGGTAAGAGTCGTCGCCCTCACTTACCGGGTAAGACTCTTGGTCCTTATCTCACTATTACCGAGTAAGATTCTTGGTATTTACCATATTTCATTAAGAAAACAAAAATGTTGAAACATTATGGTACCAAGTAAATGATTCACTGGAATGCCAACAATATTTCATTAAGCCATATATGGCTAGCAAAACATTGCATTTGGACTAAGGGAGTATCCTACTTAAAAATGAGCACAGGTGTTTATAATATATACCAGCAATCAATATATATTTAATTGCATCCCAACTTTGTTGATGTTCTAATTTTTGTATGTTAGCTTGAAATGAGGTAGTTATAGATCATAACATTAAATATCAATATCGCCATGTTTTAATTTTCTAACACAACTCATAATTTGCGATTCGGAGTTTGGTGTAACTCTTTGGATGTGATTTGTTCTGTTTGGTTTTGAAATTTTGTTTTTGTTTATTATAGTAGTATATTTTAGTGTTATTCACTTGGTGTATGTCAAACCTGTCATTGTACAAATTTTGTGCAATCTTTGTGTTTGTAAGGAGATGTTCTTTCACACCCATGACATCAATTTGCTTCACCTGATTTCACATATATGCATGTTTTACATAGTAAAAATATATTTGTATTATGTACTTTTTGCTTGCATTCACTCAAATATGAAAATTTGAATTGGTGCTATGAACAGGTTAGTTTTTTAGTGGTGAAGATCACTGCGATTTGCCCGATTTCATTGCTAAAGAGTATGAGTCTTACCAGCGTTTACTAGGTAAATTCTTGCATACGGTACCGTTTTGGTGGACTAAAATCATACCCGGTAAGTAAATGATAATGTTACGTTTTATCGGTAAACGCTTATCGGGTAATTGTTTGGTAAACGGCCCCTAAATGTAATTTTCGAGCATTATGAAGTATGTAATTCTTTTTCTAAAAGCATGAAAGCAATGGTGAAAGTTGGAAGCATCAAAGCGAAAGCAGCAAGCTATTGGATCTCAAAGAAAGCTAAAAAAGAGTTCTCAAACATCACCGATGACCTAAATGTATGTTCAATCTTACCTAATTCGTTTTTGTTTTTAAATTTTCTTTCAATTTTACGTTTTTATTATCAATAATTGTTTACATGTAGGATGATTGAATCTTAACCACTTGGGTTTTTAAATGTAATTTTGCATGCTAGAGGTTTCTGTTTTCTATGGTATATATAGAAAAACGGATGCGTACATCTTTCCCTTCCCTAACCCCACTTCTTGAGGGATTTA